TCCCTCCGAACCTCATGCTTAAATATCCCAAATAACAAAACATCTGTGTAATGATTTCAACATTTTCTGCTATTTGTAATTCACTGATTAGCCAAATAATAGAAATGGCATGCCTTTGGCTTTAGTACCCACTTGCCCCAAAGTCCTGAATAAACTTGTAAACATGTCCTTCAGTCACATGACTCAAACTTTGTCTACTGAACTCTCTTTAGTGTGTGCTGCCTGCACAGCTCTTCAGCTGCTATGACTCGAGGGTGGATTTTTGATTGATATTCTTGCATGTACCTTTTCTTCATCTTTTGTGAAGACAACTTGCCCGATCGGATGTGGGACTTCTGATAATTATGCAGTCTTTCCTATGCTGCCATGGGTCTTCAGAGGGGCATGAGCAATTTCTTGATAAATATTCTGTGCCTAAGGTTTCTTATCTATGCACAATGCACCCTCTCATTAGTTACATACTGTATTTCTAGATTTTCCTCAGTTTGACGAAATACCATTTACTGCATTGTTCTTTCTGCATGATCACTGGTGGAGTTTAATCATGAGTAGGGAAATCCAAGTTGTTTCTTCGTTAATCCTTAAATCCTCAGTACTTTACAGACTATGCAAGGGTCTGCTCTGTTGTATGTGAGAGCATGGTAAAAATACCTATCAACAAGCCTTGATTTCCCATTAATGTAGTCTTCCTGAAAGCAAGCGGGATGAACTGCGTTAGACAATTTGTATGACTTCTGCAATTCCAGAATAGGTGGATGCTTGAAGCAGGGCCTTAACTTTGATGCATAGAGACTTGTCTTTACTCTGGCAGAACTAACTAAGTCAGGAAAGAGGAAGACCCATCATGAGATGGATTGAATCAATAAAAGAAGCCATGGCCTTCAGTTTGCATGACCTAAGGAAGGTAGTCAATTACAGGACATTTTGGAGGTCATTAATTCACCGGGTCACCATGGAAGTGACTTAACAGCACATAACATATGCAACTAACTATTTCACAATAAAGTCCTTGCTGTGGTGTTTTTTGCTTGTGTAAGAACCTTTCTAACATGTGCTTGCGTGTTTGATTATTTTCCCCCAGTGAATGGGTTAGTGGTGATTTATGTGAGCCTGAAGATGACCATGTGTTATCAGGATTCATTATGTCTTCCTCTCCTCACAGGAAGCAGCATCCCTGATAGCACAAAGATCAGTGAATCCCCGGGAAATCTTCAAGCAAAGGGAGCGGTCCATGTCCACAGAAGCTGCAGCCATCAATTCTCAGCCAGGTATCTTCAACTGGAACAGAAATGCTTGGGAGTATGTTACTTTCAAGGGAGTAATACTTTCCAGTAGGCCATATTATACGAATGATACTTGGGTGGCTCCATGTAGAAACACCCAACTTCCTCGATGCACTGTGATTTTGTTCAAGATGCTCTGAGTGAGTGAAGGAGTGTTAGGGCAGACAGATTCACAGTGCGACAAGGATGTTGTTTTTACATGGAACCATGAGAGCATCGTATAAAATGCCATCACTCTTAGAATTCTGACTCCTTTCTGAGATATTTTGAACAAAGAAGTCTTTAGGGACTGGTAGACAGGAAGAGGGGTTTAGAATTATTGCCGGGGTGAATTTACTAGTTTGTGGGAAGCCTGCTGAGTGAATGGTAGTAAAAAATAATCTCTCTTGCACCATTTGTTGTATCTTGTATTGACTTACCTCCTCTCCTAGGCAAGTTGCGGAGCCCTTTTCTGCAACAGAACAGTCAAGCAGAAACTCCCGTGTCCCCTGTCCGTCCTGCTGTGCAAGATGTTCACCCTCCTCCTGTTGTCCATTCGTCTGTGCATGACACACCTCCAGTCTCTCCTGTTCCTGAACCTGGTAAAACTATTATGAGAGACCTTATTTCTGTTGCTTTATTATCATAGGGCTTTTAAAAGAAATAGTTGAAGGTGTTCTTGAAGTAGCCGGTGGTCCTTTGAGCCTTTTATTGATGCCCTAGCCATAGAGGAGGAGCCATCCCTACCCCAAAATAGGCCATAACCAACAAAAGTAAATATAATTCCTGCACTACTCTAAACCTGTAGTGTTTTTTAGGGTCAGGATATTTTGATTTCTATTCGATAAGTACCTAAAGTAATTTTTCCCTGTCACTGCATATTTGTGTTCTAACTGCGTGGGTTGCCAGATTTCTCTTGCTGTAGTGTAGCCCATCATGAGATATTTAAGTACAGTGAGAATTCCCTCTCTGCCCAGCTTGCAGTTTCCCTAAGGAAGACTCTTTTACTTAGAGCTTCCTAGTTTCCAGCTCATGGTACTGCAACATACAGTATTCTGTGCTCCTTTCATCCGTGGACACTTTGAACTACTTCTTCAGGCGTAGGTACTGACACCTCTTCTTCCCACTCCCTTCTAAATCGCGTTCCTTCTCCCCATTTCTGGTGATATTCTATCAGAACAGCTATTGCCGTGATCTGTTGCGTGTCTCCTCCCCTACCGTCAGTGTCAGTTGTCACTCCTGGCCCTTTCATAGCTATAGAAACTAAGGGTGTTGTGTCTTACCAGTTATTCTGGTATTTTGTTATGTGGTAACACTCCTACAGTGTGGGCTTTTCCAAGCCTATCCAGTCAGCGTTGTTGCTCCTTGTCTGAAGAGGCTGACAGTTTTGGGGGGGTCTTTTAAATCTGTGTTTTATTTTTGTCTGTATTGTGAAGTATTCTTTGTTGTTTTTTTGTGTGGTGCACAGCATGTATCCTAGACTGTACAGAGATCTGTCTCTTTTGCTGTAGGGGAAAAATGATAGTCTTATATTTGGGATTTTTTTGTTGTTGTCATTAGTATGTGTAGGTTGTTTCAGGGAAAGGCAGGGATTTGTCTGTGCCTTAGTGAGTAACAAGAAGAGAAACAGACAGGAAACCAAGTAAAAGGCTACTTTGCCTAACCAAGAAATGGGCAAGAAATGGATGTAATTTCTTTGGTGGCTGAGCTAAACTGTCAGTGCTTATGACCACATGCTGAGCAAAAAGTAGATACCACAAATGAGTGGGAGTCTTGGTGGATGATTTCTGTCTTTCAATCATTGTTTTCACTGGACTGATGCTGGAGGCTGTTGCCTACTTGACGACACTGTATTTCTCCTGCACTCTGCATTTAAAACAAACTCACGAAGCAGCTTTTAACAATCTGATATATATAAAAGCCCTGATGTATTGGCACTTTCCAGCTCTCCCATTGGCTGTGCTGTGTGCTCCATCAGCCATTTACCCATCAGTTGCCACTCAAGAGTACTTGTGTGCCATTGGCTGGGTGCTGGGTCCGCTCCTCTCCTTTGCTCACTGTCAGCTTGGCCATTTTTTCCTGTCGGAATAAACTGCAATAAACAGCTGTCTCTTCTGACAAAGATGCTTCTACAGCTTGGCTCCTCCGTGGCTGGCTGGCTACTGAGGTGGGTCAGCAGCACTCAAACCATTCTCTTCTCTTCCTCCTGTGCAGCTCACTTCCCCCTCAGTGACTGTTTCTAGGCAACCAAGCTTAGTTCTGTCAGTAAAAAGGTAGGGGGAGGAGGCCCTTTCCCGGCCTACTTTTGGCCTTTGTGGGGAACTCATTGGGGCCAGTCCTGACTAGGGTTGCCAGCTCCAGTTTGGGAAATTCCTGCAGATTTTTTGGTGGAGTCTATGGAAGCCAGAGTTTGGGGAGGGGAGAGGCCTCAGCTGAATAGAATGCCATAGAGTCCATCCTCCAATGCAGTTATTTTCTCCAGGGGGAGAGAGAGATCTGGTGTCTGGAGTTCAGTTGTGATGCCAGGCGATATCACAGCCAGTGTGGCATAGCAGTTAGCACTTCAGAGCAGGGTTTGCCAGACCCAGGTTCTTGCTGTGGAAGCTGAGTGGGTGATTTTGGACCAGTCACAGACTTTCAGCCTAACCTACCTCACAGGGTTGTTGTGCAGATCAAAAGGGCGAAAGAAGAATGATGTGAGTTGCTTTGGTCCCCACTGCGGAGAATGATTGTACTCTTCCTAGGTAGAGGCTGCAGGGAGGGGGGAGGAGATGGAAAGCTGAAGTCAGAGGGGCAGATAAAGGTAGGTTGATGGTTGGCTGGGAACAAGATAGGGTTGCCAATTCCAGGCTGGGAAATTCCTGGAGATTTGAGGGGTGGCGCCTGGAGAGGGTGGGGTTTGAGGAGGGGTGGGACTTCAGACAGGTACAATGCCATAGACTTCACCCTCCAAACCAGCCATTTCCTCATGTGGAACCATTGTTGCCAATCTCCAGGGGAGGGCTGGAGATCACTCAGAATTACACCTGCTCTTCAGATGGCAGAGACCAGTTCCCCTGGAGAAAACAGTGGACTCTGTGTCATTATACCCTTCTGAGGTCACCACAGCAAACTGACGCTGAGTGCCTACGGCCAGAGCACCCATCCAGAGCCTCTTTCTAGAGCTCACTGTATTTAGTTCCACAATGGTCCTTATTCCTAGTAACAGAATAAAACCACACTTCTGATCTGATAAGATAAGAGCAGCAGTACAGAACTTCTTCAGGCCATGGCTCAGTGAAAAGGGCCTTGTTGTTCCCCCTCTCCTTCTACTGAATGGATCCAGAGTTTCAGTGCCAGATTTGGGCATGCCATTGTACACCCCTGTTCTGGGGGCTAGATCTACTCTGCAGTGGCAAAACAAATCAAATTTGCTTTAAAAATATGGGCATTTTTGTCCTTAATGGAATCATATTATATCTATAAGAGCTTATAAGTGTGCAGAGTATGGGAAACAAGCTGGAAGAACTGGAAGTCCTAATACAGGAAGGGGACTATGACCTAATAGGCATTATTGAAATTTGGTGGGATGACACAATTGGAATATTAGGATTGAGGGATACAATTTATTGAAAAGGGACAGACAAATAAGGAAGGGGAGAGGAGTCACATTATATGTAAAGGAGGTATATACTTGTGAGGAAATATGTGAATCTGAACATGGAAGTTCAGTTGAGAGTCTCTGGGTAAAAATAAAAGGAGTAAGAAATAATAGTGACATTATGGTGGGGGTCTGCTATAGACCACCAAGCCAGGAGGAAGACTTGGATGAGACACTCCTAGAACAGATTACAAAACTCTCAAAGAGATGGGACACAGTGGTTATGGGAGATTTCAGTTACCTAGATATCTGTTGGAAGTCCAACTCTGCTGAAAACAAAAGGTTAAATAAATTCCCGACTTGTCTTGCTGACAACTTCATTTTCCAGAAAGTGGAAAGGGAAACAAGGAGATCTGCTATCTTGGAACTGATTCTCGCCAACAGAGAAGAACTGGTTGATGAGGTGAAAGTAGTGGGCACCCTGGGTAGTAGTGACCATGTAATTTTGGAATTTACAGCCTTGGGGAAGAGAAAAGCTGTATGTAGTCAGACATATAGGTTGGACTTCAGGAAAGCAAATTTTGACAGATTTAAAAGTTATGCTGGGTAGAATCCCATGGTGAGAAATACTTAAGGAGAAGTGAGTTCAAGAGGGGTGGGAGTTTCTTAAAAGCAAAATATTGAAGGAATATTCCTATGAGAAGGAAAAATGGGAGGAGGCTAAAGAAGCCAGGGTGGCTCCATAAACAGCGTTCTAAAGAAGAACTAAAAAAGACTCATTTAGGAAATGGAAGGAGAGCCTTATAAATGAGGATGAATATAGACAAATTACCAGTGAGTGTATAAAGAGACTTAGGAAAGCTAAAGCTCAAGTCTGAGCTTAGGCTAGCGAGAGATGCTAAAAGCAACAAAAAAGGGTTCTTATGTTCAAAGTAAGAAAATAAGGACATTGTAGGCCCATTGCAGGTACAGGAAAGTGAAATTGTAACAAGTGATGAAGAGGGGACAGAACTGCTCAATTCCTACTTTTCCTCAGTCTTCTCTTGTGAGGGGAAAGGTGCTCAACATGGCAAAAATAGAACACATGATGACAAGGGAAGAGAATTGCAGCCTAGGATTGGCATGGGGTAGTACATAAAACACGTAGTTTTTAAAAATGAAACGAAGTCCTCGGGGCCAGATGAACTGCACCCAAGGGTACTGAAAGAACTTGTGGATTTAATTTCTGAGCCTCTGTCCATTATTTTTGAGAATTCTTAGAGAACAGGGGAAGTGCCAGAAGATTGGAGGCAGGCAAATGTTGTCCCCATCTTCAAGAAGGGGGGAGAGGAGGATCTGGGTAACTACTGACCCATCAGCTTGACAGCTATACCTAGAAAACTTTTAGAACAAATTATCAGTCAGTCCTTGAGCATTTAGAAAGAACAGCTGCAATTACTAAGAGCAAGCATGGGTTTCTCAAGTACGAGTCATGTCAGACTAACTTTATCTCTTTTTTTGAGAAAGTTACTACCTTGCTGAATCAGGAGAATGCTGTAGACGTAGTTTATCTTGATTTCAGTAAGGCTTTTGATAAGGTTCCACATAATACTCTTGTTGACAAGTTGATAAAATGAGGTTTGGAACCTATTACTTATTAAATTTATTTATTAAATTCAACTTGTTAAGCCGCCCTTCCCTGCAAGCAGACAGATCGCACCCAAAGAGTGCTTGTTAATGGTTTCTCATCCTCTTGGAGAGGAGTGACAAATGAAGTGCCTCAACGATCTGTCTTGGGACCTGTTTTATTCAACATCTTTATAAATGATTTGGATGAAGGAATAGAGGAAATGCTTATTAAAGTGGTTTGGATCCTATTACTTATTAAATTTATTTATTAAATTCAACTTGTTAGGCCGCCCTTCCCTGCAAGCAGACAGAACGCACCCAAAGAGTGCTTGTTAATGGTTTCTCATCCTCTTGGAGAGGAGTGACAAATGAAGTGCCTCAACGATCTGTCTTGGGACCTGTTTTATTCAACATCTTTATAAATGATTTGGATGACGGAATAGAGGAAATGCTTATTAAATTTGCAGATGGTACTAAATTGGGAGGGGTAGCAAATACAGTAGAAGACATAGTCAGGATACAGGCTAGAAAACTGGGCTAAAAATAAGATGAATTTCAATGGGGATAAATGTAGAGTTCTGCATTTAGATAGGAAAAATCAAATGCATAATTATAGGATGGGGGAGACTTGTCTTGGCAGGGGTATGTATGAAAAGGATCTAGGGGTCGTAGTGGACCACACACTGAACATGAGTCAGCAGTAGCTAAAAAGGCAAATGCGATTTTGGGCTGTATCAACAGAAGTAATAGTGTCCAGATCATGTGAAGTGATGGTACCGCTTTACTCTGCTCTGGTTAGACCTCACCAAGAGTATTGTGTTCAGTTTTGAGCACCACAATTTATGAAGGATATAGACAAGCTGGAATGTGTCCAGAGGAGGTCAATGAAGATGGTGAGGGGTTTGGAGACCAAGTCCTATGAGGAGAGGCTGAAGGAGCTGGGTTTGTTTAGTCTGGAGAGGAGACGACTGAAAGATGATGCTGATTCTGTGAACTTAGGCAGATCATGAGAGGGTGGGCAGGAAGGGTTGCATCAGAGCTTAGTTTTTATGGCCCAGGGAAATGCTGATCGCCACTTTGGGGTCAGGAAGCAATTTTTCTCCAGGCCTGTTTGGCTGGAGATCCTGGAGGTTTTTTGTCATCTTCTGGGTATGGAACAGCAGTCACTGGGGGTGTGGGGGGGAGGTATTTGTGAATTTCCTGCATTGTGCAGGGGGTTGGACTAGATGACCCTGGAGGTCCCTTCCAACTCTATGATTCGATGGCTATTAAGTACTATGCAATACTTTTCACAGGGGTTGTGGTTCAGTACCTGAGTGCATGCTTTGCATGATGAAGGTCCCAGGTTCAGCCTGCATAATCTGCATGAAACTCTGGACAGCCGTAGCTCATTGGAAGAGATGATGATGTGCTAGGTGGGCTAATGGCTTGACTATATAAGGCAGCTTTGTGTATATTTAAAAGACAACTCTACCTCATAGGCTCTCGTAATATATGGGAATTTCTGAGATCTGCACTGAATCATCTTGTCAAAGCATGACAGATGGACAGGAAAAACTTGCTGTACAAGTTGTGTTGATATGAAACAGCAGAGGTGGAGCTAAGGCAAGTACAGACATAACAGTAGGATGAAATGTCACATCTGGCCTTGCCTAGCAGAGAGGCAAGAGACTTCTTGGGCCTATACAGTCATGTCAAAAAAAATTGAACAAACCTGTTTAGGCATAATAGGTAGAATATCTCCTTTGCCTGCAGAAGGTAGCTGATTCAGTGCTCTGTGTCTCTAGTTAATAGGAAAAGGTAGCAGGTGATGTGAAAGACTTCAACCTAGGTGAGCCACTGCCAATCAGAGTAGATAACACTGACCTTGATACACTAGTGATCTGACTCATTGTAGGGCAGCTTGTGTGATCATCCCTTTGTAGACATAAAGTTGGGGTTCCATCATACAATTGTTTAGTAGAACATCCTATTTACATAAGTTTCTGCTAATATTTATTAGCATCAGTTTCCATACACTGAGACCGCAACTTTTTTTCCTTACCTGAGGTCTTTGGGTGCAATACAGAATGCCTCTGGGTCCCTTGGATAACGATCAAAATGGTTCAGAAAAGCATCCAGCACATAGTACTGGCTTGAGGAAATCAATAATAAACATGATAAATAGAGCGGGGGGGAAGGGGAGTTGGATTTATACCCCGCCCTTCACTCAGAGTCTCAAAGCAGCTTACAATCTCCTTCCCTTCCTCTCCCCACAACAGGCACCCTGTGAGGTAGATGGGGCTGAGAGAGCTCTGAGAGAACTGTGACTGACCCAAGGTCACCCAGCTGGCTGCATGTGGAGGAGGGGGGAATCAAACCGGGTCCTACAGATTAGAGGTCACTGCTCTTAACCACTATACCAAGATGGCTCTTACCAAAATAGAATTATGAATGTGTGTTCTGCTTTTTCCAGGTGATTCAGTCAGGCAGGACAATTACAAATCTGCCCCACCTGTCTTCCAGCCAGAGGTGGAACAAGATGCTGTGTATGAAGAACCCCCAAATGAACGAGTTCTCTATGATGAGCCCCCTCAGGTTAGTTTTCTTATATATGACCTTGGGTGTGTGATACATTTGTGGGTAAACTTTTAATTGTTTGATGTTTTAGCTGTTTTAAGAGTTAATTATATTACCTGGTGTTCATTGTTTGTGCACTTTGTTGTCACCCACCCTGAGCCCATTTAGGGAAGGGCAGGATATAAATTTAACAAATAAATAATAAATAAACCAGTGGTACTGATCTGAGTGTGTCTGTCGCAAGACGCTTAAGAAGTTTTACAAAATTCAGACTTTTAAGTAATGGAAATCTTGGCTTGAAGCATAACATTTTGGTCAAAGAATGTCTCAGCATGTAAACATGGGCATTTGAATCAGTGTTACAGCCTTAGGATTGTTCTTGGATGAAGCCAGGGGTTGTGTTTGATGGTATAAACACTCTTATAAACCAACTCTTATAAACCAAACAGTAGGGAAACTCTGTGCTGTGTAACAGCAACAGATCTTGATTACATTTTTCTCTCTGACAAGGGCTTCAAGTCTTTCTGCACAGTACTGTCCCTATGTAAACTATTTGATTTGTTTGCTCACTTGCAGTGTTGTCAGGGTAAGGAAGCAATACAAGTTCCTCCTCCGCTTTAAGAGGAGTTTGAGACAATGATCAGGGAAAAAAGGAGAGGATTGAACTACCAGGCAATAGCTTTTTTATATATATAAAGGAAGCACACACACCCCATTCCTCAAGTTAATATAGGAAGGTGGGAGGTAGCTGTTGAATGAGCAGGAAGGTCGGAGGAAACAAGTTACAAAGGCCCATGGGAAGCAGAGAGAGAACAAAATTGTTGGCATTTCCTACCAACAGTGTCTTAGATTACAGCTGTAATTGTTATGCCTTACTTTACATTAATTTCTTCTACCCCCTTATCTCTCTTTTCTAATATAATGACTGTGGTATTTGGTTTTAACTAAATTGGTAATTTCATTGAGTGTGGTTTTTTTTTTAGTTTATTAGATTTTAGCTGCAAGATGTTTAAAGGTTTCAGATTTGTTTTGATCTTAGTGTAGATGAAGGAAGAACTTGTGCCAGTGTGGCCAATGATTGCTATGAGTACTGTGTTGACATACTGTACTTTATTATGTTAACCTCTTTAGGAACAGCCTGAAGACGTTAATTACGACTATGCTGAGAACTACCAGCAGAACCTTAACCTGGAAGGAAAAGGTTTATGTGCTCGAGCTCTGTATGACTATCAAGCTGGTAGGTGGCTCATGGATTGTTTTCTGTGTTTTGCCTGTATGTACATTTTGGGAAGAGTTGCTGCTTTCCTCATTGTGAACATAATAGAGATTTTAAAATCGTGGTTTGTGATCTGCAGGCTAGAAACTGAGATTGTACAGGTTGACTGTATACTGTTAGCATCTGGTTAGATTTTTACAAGCCACATTTATTGGAATTTCTCTGCTCACCATCAACAGAAAGAGTTGAGTGTCTGAGACATGTACAGTTAGCTACTCCATCCTAGTTAAGTAGCGGAAGGATAAATGGACCCAGATTACAGTCTGATTACATGATGTACAAACCTTTTTTGGATCTGTTTAATGTCTGGATGGCAGGCTTACTGGAAACACCATATATATCTCCTTAAGTTCCCTAATGGATTAAAGTCAGGATATAAGTTTAGGGTGGACAAGCAGTAAACTATGGCCTCTGGGCCCTTACCCTGAAGCTACTACTCTCTTCCTCAGTCTGTGGGATCCCCCCCTCCCTTTAGCTGTCACTATGAGAGCAAACTGCCGTTTTTGTTTTCAAGAAGGCAGGCTGGGATTGTGAGAGGTATGGGGTGGTATGCACTGATTCCTGGGCAGAAAGCAGATTGCTTTTTCTGTCTTGCTGTAGCTGTTATATATCATAACTGGGGAAAATAGTTGTACAGCAGCTTCAAACAGTCTTACTGTCTTGAACTGTTCAGTGCAATGCTGGAAACATTTTAGTTGATCTTAAAGCTTATGGTAGGTGAAGAGAAAAAGGGGGAGTCTTTTGTAGAAAAGCTGCATTTGATTGTGTGTGTGTTTCTTCAGAAAGCTGATGATTACTTTAAAGTCATAAATGGACTGAGTCTTACATGTCATATGGAGTACCTCTCCTGAAATGAACCCACTTATTTAGATTTGATGTGAGGACCCTACAGCTAGTCTTGATATCAGTAACTGTTAGGAGGAGCAGGGCTGAGGAGGACTGCACTTCCTCAAAAGATGCAACTTGAGCGCCTTTGTAACATGCAGAAAAATGTGTGAAGCCCATCTCTTAACATTTTATTTGGGGTGTAGATGCTGTATTCCAGATTTAGGCTGTAAAAGGCTCTGGGTTTATGTTTTTAGTTGTGTCACTGTATTGTGCTGTTTGGATTAGTAGCCGCCTTGAATGCGGGGCTAGATGAGGCTGTACCTTTGTTAAAATTCTGTTTCTTGCATCTGACTGTTCCCACCTTTCAGCTGACGACACAGAGATCTCTTTTGACCCTGAGAACATTATCACCAGTATTGAAATGATTGACGAGGGCTGGTGGCGTGGTTACGGTCCAGACGGACACTTTGGGATGTTCCCTGCCAATTACGTGGAGCTCATTGAATAGCCAGCCAGCCTATGCCAGAGGAAGAATGCAAGCAATGCCTGAAAAGAAGAGCTCCATCCAATCTGATTCTTCAAGGTGAAATTGTATGGCGTGTTCAGAGTGAAGTGCCATTGCTCTGCTCCGTTATTGCTGGAGCAGCATCCTGGTGAAGCAGAACTCTTCCTTTGCCTTCTTTTTGTTTTCCGTAACTGGCATTTACAGTTGAAGATAGGAAATCAATTTTGGCAGTGAATAACACTTCGGGTTTTTTGAGGGGTGGGGAAGTGTTTGAGGATAAAGGCATTAGCCAAAATATAAAAATTATCTCCAGACATACTCTCTGACCATCACTGTGGGTATTTAGAAGGTAAGGAAGGGCTTAATAATAGAAACAGTGGAGCTTATAGTACAAACCACTTCTTTATTCCATGTGTTGCATCTTCCAAGGTAGCACAGGGGAAGATCTTGAAAAATGCCTATGTGACTTAGTAGCCTGTTTGTAATTTATCACTGAGATTTGGGTTGCAATCTGCAACCTGGTTATTCCAGATCACTTCTTTTAATTGATTGCAAGTTTGTAGCTTTTGAGAGATGCAATCCAGGGCAAGCCCTGTGGAAATGAACGGATTGTACAACAGCTCTGCAAGGCTCTTGTGCAGTTCCCTTCCATTTCAACAGAATCATCAGTCCGTGGAAGAAGATTTTTCACCCTTAGACTTCTCTATAGCTTGTGGGAGGGACCGAGTTTGTCTTTTAAATTTTCATGTGTTTGGGAAAGTTCTCTCCTTTTGATTTCAAGAAAGAACCTCACAATATAGTTCCTTCAGATATGACATTGGATATCAATGCCATCAGTGCCGGCAATAACTTAAGGCCCTGGAAGCTGTATTAACTTTGAACTGTGGTATACACTGATCTAACTATGATGCTGTACGTGTGTGAATGCGTGCCTGGGGTGTGTCGAGTGATTCAGTTAATATAGGAAGACCTTGATTTCTGCGTTATCTTTTTCTGGGTTTTAAAAGCCTTTTATAGCATTGAGATAGGGTTTGGATACAAACTGCCCCCTCCGATAATTCAGTGAAATAGAATATAAGTAAACTTCTGGCAGCCGAGTACATGAATTAATGCTGGTTTGCGTGAACACTTTGCGTCACTCTGACAATTACTTTGCATCACTCTGACATGCACTAATTGTATTAACTTAGTGGTGCACGTGTGGATTCAAATACTATATTTTAAATAAGTTCTGTCAGATTCTCCAACTAGTACCTCTTCTTCCATAGTGAACTAACTTCAGGTGAAGTTTGCAATTTTAAATTAGCTAATTCTTTTTTACATTCCTTTTTTTTGTCTCTCTTGAAGGCAGCTTGGATGGGATTCTCGAGAAACTTTCAAAACCTTTCCTGTGTGGAGACTTGGCATAGGGAATGGATTTTTCTAAAGGAGAATCTTGCAATTTGTTTGAGAGGCCAAATAAATGGTCTTGCCAGGTTGAATTACATTATCCCTTGCCTTACGCATAATGTGATGATTATTATGGAAATAAGAGTCCCTACCACAGCTCTTTGATAACCTCATCCAACTAGTTTCCCCTTAATGGCAAATAAGAAAATGATGTTTGTATAAAATAGTAAATCCATTTTCAGTTTTATTACCACGCATTCCTTCTTTCTATCCCAGTCTGAGAAGCTGAATCTAAAGTGTTCGTTCTGTTTCTAAATCTGGTTGCTGTGCTATCCTTTCTTCTCCAACTGCACTGATCTCCAGATGTAACTGTGAACCTTTCAAAAGCACTTTCCATGCTAACCCACAATATAATTAAAAATCAATATGGTACCTCCCTCGTCCATGAATGGATTTTTATCCTGTGTAGTGTTTTGTTTTGTGTTTTAAATTCCATCTTTCCTTTCAGGAACAATAAGAGAGTTTCTGCTCAGAGAGAGCTGTAGCAGGCCAGCAGCTGCTTCTTGGGATTCTTGTTCATTTTTATTAGACTTGTCAAACGATTATGCAGAGTCATTGCTGTTTACTCCATCCGTTTTTGTCCAAACCTTCGTTTTGTCAGCCTTCTTCAATGCACAGAAGTTTGGGGTGGGGAAAAGCTTGTTATCAGGATGATCTGAATAAAGTAACTCCTGTGAAGTATCTTTGTATGTCACTGGTTCTTGGAAATGTTTGCAGACAAAAAAAAAGATTCTTTTGATCAGAGCTATGCACTTGTGTCTAATAATTTAGGTCTCCCTCTCTGCCTATAATTTATCTTTGTTTTCTAGAGTCTGTTCTTGGATTCTATCAAACTGCAACCACAATTTTGTCAGTGATTCATTTCTCTCTTCTCCCATGAATAGGGTCTTCATGTCTTCTGTTATAACACAAAGAAGTCATATAACTTTGAAACAATTATTTTACCATGTATAAGGACAGGATTCCCCCTGCAGTTTTGATGTACTCCAAAAGCATTGTTTGAAATAATACATTTGTAAGCCGTTTTGTGAATGGGCCTTTCATGCATTCATTTTGCAGGCCACCATGCAAATATCATCTATCACAGGCAGCCTGTGGATCCAGTGTACAATACTGACAGATCAGGTGGGAGAAATGATCTCACAGAGTTCTTAGAAATTCTTCATCAGTAGCTAGCTACTGCTGGCTTCTCCAGTTGTTCTGTGCACCAATACCTACAGTACCTCTGTGAAAGATGTTGGTCTGCGTGGCCCTTTGCTGATAGGTCAGATTGCACAATTTTTCAATCCTTGCAACACTAGTAAATCAGTTGATTACTGTAAAAGATGTGTGTGGGGGTAGCAGCAGCTGTGATGCAGGATCTAGTTAACCGGGTCAGGCAGACATGGCAGGGACAGGGAGGGAGACAGAAATGGATAATCAGATTGCAGGCTGGACCTCAATTTCATTTCCTTCTACCCTGTTCCTTTTGCTTGCATCCCCTGGGACCCGCTGCCAACAGCAGAGAAGCCATTAGTTAAACGCTGTACCAGCCTTGGGATATGGCCATCCTCATATGATCTTCCACTTGCTTCTAAAGGATGTGTGATGCTACTAGAAAGACAAGCAATCTCTGCTTCTTTGAAGATATTCAGATAGTACGATCAGAGTTGAGCAGGTATCCCACTGCATTTATCAGTCTACAAACTATTGTTGTTTTCCTCGCTCTTTAGCCTGCATTTATTAGTTATTGTATTCAGTCCTTTAAATAAAACCATATCACTCGTAGTAGCATGGGGACAAACTGCTAAAGCTTTCCTGTTGAAAAGCAGGAAACAATGAGGCAAGCAGGACTTCCGGGAATTACTTTACTTGACAGGAAGAGGGGAGGTACTTTTAAAATGGAGCACTGTGGCCCAGTGTGGGTGCTGGCGTGTACGGTTGAGGGTGTGGAGATTTAGGGGGTGGGGTTGTTTCCTCTGTCTGGGACTTTGTCCCCCTCCACGTATATAAGTAAATGCAGGGCTATTTTTGGGCAGGAACGCACAGGAACGGAGTTCCGGCTGGCTCCCAAGTTGGCCACGCCCAGCAGGAACTCATTAGCATATTGGGCCACACCCCTGACAGCACAGCTCATTAGCACATTAGGCCGCACCCCCATGTTACCAGAAGTGTGGTTATCCAGCCACACCCACCTTTTGCTTGTTATTCTGTTTACCTTGTTTGTCGTCAAAACCCAGGGCTTTTTTGTAGCAGGAACTCCTTTGCATGTTAGGCCACACCCCCCTAATGTAGCCAATCCTAATGAGTTCCTGCTGTTGGGTGTGGCCTATTATACTAATGAGTTCCTGCTGGGCTTTTTCTACAAAAAGAGCCCTGAAAATGACACTATAGCATGGAGACAAATGTCTCTCAGAACTAGTTTTCATTGAGGTGGCCGCTAAAATGTTGATGTATCCCTGCTGATGGGTGCTCGTGTTATTTCACACACAAATTCCATCCACACATAAAACTAGTATGGGGAGGGGCAGGGAACTAGGCTTCCTGACAAGCTAGTTTCTTACTGTACAGGGAGTTTTACATTTAATCAAGTGAGCCTTAACAGCAGTCTGGTACAGCCCCAGACAAAGGTTTACCACTTAAGTGAGAATCAAATCTGAACTGCAATCCCCTAGGTGTGCGTGCGGCTTTAGAGAGATATTTATTTAAAAATTTCACTTACCCCACTATTCAAGGTAGCTTACAACAAAAGAGATCACCGTAAAACCATAAATGCTTTAAAATGCTAAGCTCAAACCAGAAGTGTAACCATTTTAAAAATCCTAGCATTATCCTTGCTAACAGTTCTATCTATAACCCTTTACTACAATCCTTGGCAGTCTTCCCTTAAGAGGCTGGGAGGAGGAGATCATCGATGAATGTCCCGAGCGATTGTTCTGTATGTTTGAATCTACACCTGCAAGGCACTGTTCCTTGCTGCAGATGTTAAAGGATATGGAGTAGATTATCTTTACCTCTGGCAGATGCCTCTCTAATATAGGTTGGAGCCAGGCTGCAAAGGGCTTTAAGGGTAAAAACCAGTGCACTGGCTTTAGGCTCGCCTCTTCATTCAAAAGCATAAAACAATGTGGTGTGGGGAATGCACCTTGCTCCTACAGGATTGATAGCTGGACTTTCTCCATCGTATCACAGGTTGTTCATTCATTCATTTATTTATTTATAATTTCAATTTATAGCCCTCCCTCCCCGCGATGTGGGCTTAGGGCGGCTCACAGATAGGCATAAGCCAACGCGTAAAAACAAGTTAAAACCATATGAAACCATTACTACAGTATTACAACATGTTAAGTGCTCTAGATGTTCCAGAATAATCTTCCATCAAGATGGCGTCTCAGAGATGGTACATCCAATCAATGCTGACAGTTCCACGTGACACTGTCGTTCTCTCTTCACAGGGCCAGTTAGTAATGATGGTAAAATAACGATGGTATGATAATGATGGTATGATAGTGGCGGCTCCTACCCAAAGGCCGGGTGGAGGAGCTCCGTCTTGCAGGCCCTGTGAAACTGCACAAGGTCCCACAGAGCCCAGATCTCCTCCGGGAGCTCGTTCCACTAGGAAGGAGCCGCCACCAAAAAAGCTCTGGCCCTGGTAGCCGCCAGCCTGGCCTCCTTGGGGCTTGGAATCGTCAGGAGATGTTGCATCCCCGACCGTAGTGCTCGCAGGGGAACATATGGGGAAAGGCGGTCCCTTAGGTATGTTGGACCCCGGCCATTTGATAAGACACTGTAAGGTACTTAAACATCTCCTGCCTTGACAGATCCTGTATCATACATATAAACTGCATACACAACAGGTTAACTATCCCTATAAAATTAGTTCATTACAAGGAGAAGATTTTCACCAGCCTATCAAGTCTATCAAGGAGCTGTGGTGGCTCAAGTGGTTAAGATGCTGAACTGCAGGCTCGAAGGTCGGTAGTTCAGCAGTTTGAGACCCGAGTGCCACCTGACGGAGTGAGCTCCCGTCTCTGGTTCCAGTTCCTGCCAACCTAGCAGTTCAAAAGCAAGAAATTGCAAGTAGATAAATAGGTACCGCTTCGGTGGGAAGGTAACAGTGTTCCATGCGCCTTGGTGTTCAGTCACACCGGCCACATGACCATGGAAATGTCTTCGGACAGCGCTGGCTCTTTGGCTTGGAAATGGAGATGAGCACTGCAACTCGAGTCGGATTCGACTGGCTTTCGAGCAAGGGAAACCTTTACCTTTACCTATCAAGTCTGGAGAAAGGTCACCAAGAATTGATTCAAGCTTCTTGTATCAAAAAATGTCCACCTTTGGATAGTGGTCAGTATGAGATGCAGCAGAAGATGAGAAAGAGCTGCACCAGATAAGCAGAGGCATCTGGGAGAGGTTGAAATGGCAGTAGGAAAATTTTCAATTAATATAGAGAACAATGGCTGGAGTACTCTAACCAGCTACAGTTTCTGCTCATCTTTTCCCCACTTTATAGCATTCGCTGCATCAAAAACTGCTTTACTTGCAACAGCAGCCACACGTGCCACCTAAAATGGGAAACTAAGCTACCCCAAACAGAATTCCCTTTAGTTGCCTTGCTCAAGTCTGCTGCATCCACCATCTTGGGATATGTGTCCTGAATGTGTCCTGTCTGTGCTAGCAAGTGGACATTTAAAAAAATTATTTTAAATGAACAAAGGTGTAAAGAAGCAATCTTTGTCCAGGCCACTGCAACGGGAGGCTCCTGGTGTTCGAGTGTCAGTGAACTAATGAGCTTCGGCGGCAAGCAGCTGTGAAATCATGTAAGTTTCAGGGCTTCCTGACACGGGGATGCTGCAGCAATCCTCTTAAAGGGATGAAATGGCATAATCCAGCGAGGGCAGGGCCTCGCCTCCTCCTCAATCGTGGGCCTCTAACATCTGGGATAAAATAGTAATTGTGAACCACAGTGCAGGTTATTTTTATTATTTGGAGCGGACAGGGCTGCCTTTTTGCAGAGAAGTCCTGCTGAGCTCATGGTCCAACTCAAGGAGTCTCGGCCTCTCAGATCCTGCACAAGAAGTCTGGCTGTGGCTGCCTCTGATGGTTTGTTACCTGTAGAGCAGTTTTGTTGTCTTTCAGCCCCACACAACTTTCAGCCCTCGTCGTTCTGCCTGTTTTCAGACATGCATGCAACAGCTCAGACCTTCCCTGGTTATGTCCTGACACCACTGGTACCGTAGCAATAGTTTACAACTGGATTATTTTGTCCACACAGGAAAATCCAGTTGTCAATGGTTGCTATAGTGCTCTGACAGCACAATATCCAACAATGCATGGATCCAGATCCTATGTCAGTGTCCTGGGTCTGGCCTTCCTTTCTCCCTCCCTTTTACAGACAAGAGATTTCCAGACCCAAATCTCCTGGCCTAGGTTGAACTCTCGTTTCGAGCAGCTTTATCTTTGCAGTATTATTTTCTCGTTCCCTGTGATAAGCCCACCCATCCAGCAAGGAGATTTTTGAACTGGCTTTCAGCATCCTGAACTGTCATAACCTTGCCTAATCAAGATCAGCGTCTTGTCCGCGTACACAAATACACAGCTGATTGCCCTCTGAACCCCCTCCTCTCCTCTTGGTTCTAATTTGTGTCCCTCCAGCAGGCGCTGCCTCTCTCCACTGACATTTGGCCGCCTTGGTTTATGTCTTGCACCC